TAATGGACTAAATATTGTTAACTGTGATTCTTATTTGATAACAGTTGTGTGATATATTTTGCTATGCTAAGTTTAAAACCCTTCTTTTTATTTTAGATAGAAAAGAAGAGATGATGGGAGATGTCATTCTGTAAATATGTTTCTCATACTGGTTAATGACTAAAGCATTCTTGGCCAAGAGGAAAGCAAGATAGGCAGGACTAGGAGAAAAGGAGGATTCCAGGAAGTAGTAGGGAGGAGTCAGGGAGTCAGCATGTAGAGACCAAAGAGAACAGAGGTCTCTGCCCTACTCTCTGGTAAGATGAGATCACATGGAAATACTTACATTAATAAAAATGTGTTAATACTTAAGACAGAGCTAGCCAATAAGAAACAAGTAACTGGTCAACAGCATTATATCTAATACAGCATCTCTGTGTGTTATTTGGGGCTGGTGCAGCTGTGGGACCAGTGGCGGGGAAAAACCTTACTTGTACAGTTTCTCTCTAATTTCTTAATACAATGCTTAGCTTGGTTCTTCTCTAAATTCTTCTATTTGTATCTGAATATTTTTATTATGTGTTTTAATAAACTTTCTAAAACTTGTAAAAAAAAAAAAAAACAAAAGTTTCTGGTGCGCATTGCAGGTGTGCCTTGAACCCAGGTGTGACTGGCACATGACTTCTTCCTATGCTTAGCCCATGCCCTGGCTTGGGTATATAAGCCCATTACTCTCTGTAATAAACAGTGGCGGTGGCAGTAGCTTATTCTTAACTTCTCCTGGTGGTCTGTTAAGTGTTTCAATCCCTACACCCACCGCCAAACTCAGTACTCAGGCTGTGCAGATGCGGCAAATTGTGTATCTTTTTATCAATAAATGTAGTCAACAATCAATATTAAAAGGATATGATGATATCGCTTCATGGATTATGACTGAAAATTAATATTGGGTTGATTTGTAATTACCAAGGATTATATAGAGCCTATAAAAAAATTAAACATGGGCTATGGATATAGTTCAATTTTATATCATTTATCTAGAATGACTGAAGCTCAGGTTTCAATTCCTAACCCTGAATGTAAACAAATAAACAAACAAAGCATACGTTAACATTAGCTAACAAAATCTAAATCATATCTGATACTTTCGTGAGACTTGTTTTAATTAAAATTTAAATGAAATTATAATGACAAAACAATTCAATCACCTATTTTTACTTAAATTAGAGAGTTTTTAATGCACCGTTTTTTTTTTTTTTTTGACATAATCTTGAGAAAGAACAAGGTTCTCCTCGTTACATTAAACAGTAGTAATAACCACTGATAGTTTCAGTTAAAAAAAAAAAAGCCCAGCTAAATGTCAAATTCCATTATTAGAAAATGAAAAAGAGTTGTTTTAATTACAACATTTTTTACCTTGGTCCTATATTATACACAGGGTCAATGATGTAAACAAAAAATGGAGCAGTGCTCCTTTATAATAAAGTCAGGTTAATCCATAGTATTCCTCTCATATATCCTAGAGATGACAACAAGCTAATGAGTGCAGATTTGTAGTCCACCATTAATTAATTAACACTAGACCTTTTAGCAGTGGATTACTATTCCAGTCATTCCATTTAAATGTGCCTATTTGGAAAGCTGGGCAGTAAAGGCCCAATACCATTAGTCAGTCAGTCAGTCAGTCAGTCAGTCAGTCAGTCAGTCAGTCAGCCAGTCTGTTGCTCTCTCTCTATTTCTCTCTCTCTCTCCATTTCTTTCTGTCTGTCTCTCTGTAACCTCCTAATTTTTGCCTTCTTCTACAAGTTGTATTTAATCTGTCTACACATACATGTTTGTGATCATTTTACTAACCCTTCCTTATCATACTAGCAAGTAACATAATATTCCAAAAGTTTTAGAATTAAAAAATTTTTAACATCAATATAATTTGACCTAGGAAAAACTCTGAGGATTAAAATATTCTATGACTCCTGCATTTTGTATAGTTATAGAAGAATATAAGGGTCAATTCTACAAGGCATATGGTTATATGAATAGTGTACTAAATACTTTTTGTTCTTATGTGGTCTATAATAAAATTGTTTTTTAAATTCAAATGGAAATTTTAGCTTTATTTTAATGTTTATGTGTATTTCTAACAGTATAATTTTATATTATCTGTAAATTAATTTTATGTTGTTTCCTGTGAAATTTACATTTTGCAAAACTAAGATAAAGCTGTGAATATCTCTGTGTTAGATGCTAATGGTCCTTTCCCATGTTAGTGTGTGATGAAGATTCTAAGTGATTAATTCACTAGGTTTAACATCACCAATACAGTGGACACTGAAAGAATAGTTGTAAATTCAATCAGAGAAATGATAATACATGAGTCATAATGATTGTTCATTATGCATTCAGAGCAGCACATCTTTATGGGAATTCAAGTATTTCATAATGCTTAAAGATGAGGAACTTATTTGTCTTTTCACATGCAATAAACAATAAACAATAGATAAATAATATTAAATACTGATATAAGGACCATTTAATGTCAAAATATGTGATCAATAATGGCACATGCAAGGCAAGAACACTAACAAAGAAAAGAAAGCACATATTTTTTAAAGGAATATAGATCGGTGTTTGCATTTGTTTTCATATTTCTTGTATTCATATATTGTTTCAAATAGACAACTAAAAAATGTTGACAGTTTTAAACTGATAAACTCCCCTAGACAAAATGTAATTATTATAATCTTTCACATTGCCTTGAAGTCTACTGTAAATGAAAAAGAGACAAAGAAAAACAAATGAAAGATAGCTAATGTTTGAAGTTGTTCACTGCAACAATTTTACAAAAAGTGTATCATTTAGACTCTAGTTAATAAATGATATTTAGGAAATATTTTAATTTTCAATTAAATCACAATACTGGTAAAAGGGCTTCAATATGTATCTCCCTTTTCTGTGACCATTTTCCTACATCTGTGAAACTACAAGGGTGAACTATTTCAGTAATCCCCTGTGACCCAACTGGGAGTCCTTTATATACTGGCCTGCAAAAAAAGAATCATAAAGCAATTTCAAGTCCTTAGACACAAATGTTTGCTTGTTGAACTTGAAATGTCCTGATGATACCTATTAACTAGACTGTGAAAGTGATGTTAAATGAGGGATATAGAAGGAAGCCACATGACTAATCTAGAGAGAAATAGGATGGAAAAAAAGAATCATTGCCTGAACTACAGTGGACAAAATTGTATGACCTATGTAGCCACGAAAGAGAGATCTCAAAAAGGAGAAAATCATAGTCTTCAGTTAAGAGAGACTATATTTGAGAAAGTACATTGGCCCAGACAAAATGAAGTAGTACAAGATGTACTTCTGGTTTGAAGAATATGGATATAATTTTGTGCCATCAGTTATATTTTTTATTTTCTCTCTTGCCTGTATTTGTCTGTTGTTTTCAGTGAGCCAATCATCAGTCCCTTAAAGTTAATATTTTATGCTAAGAATAAAGAAAAATACATGTGTGGCATGTGAGTGATTGTCAGAATGTAAAATCATTCATGATGTTACTCTCAGGGTCTCATCACACCTGAGAATTTTGTTTAAGTTATGAACAATTAGAGGGATCCAGAGATCTCTATAAGGATAAGGAAGGTTTATTCAGATTGTCTATGGGAAATAAACAAGTAGTAAGAAATGTCAAAATATTTTATTACTAAAATTATAGGATGCCATGAACTAAAACAATAGAAGGGGTTAAAAGGAAAAGGAAAAGCAGAGAAAACAAACTCAAATTTAGGACCCTAAAATGAGTTGAATTATCACTCTGTTATTTCCCCTCCTGAGTGCTAATGGGCAACTGTCAAGGATGCTGAAATTGACATTGCAGTATACCATCCTAAAGATATTGTTTTCTTTCTCTTTATATTTTTGCTCCATGTTTTTCTTAGATGGCAGTCACTCATGGTCACCCATCTCGATTAATTTAAGAAGCAGAATATTAAGAAGTTATGTGTCACAATGTTGCTTCTATTATGGATCCTAATGAACTAGTTACTATGACATATTGATATATTTTATTGTATATAATAACTACATTTCATTTTTAATTATATGACACAGGAAGTAGTCACAATATTTAGAATAACTTAAGTCAGTCTTTTAGTAAGCAAATGAAAAATATAAATATAAATTCTACATCCCATCTATAGTTTCCCATTCCTCCCCCACACAACACTTCTGTTCCAAGATCTCATTCCATCCTCTTCCATTTCTGTTCAGGAAATTGAAGGCCTCCATGGTATATCATGATGCAATAAGACTAAACATACAACAGCCCCCCACATGCTAGGTATTAAGTCTGGGAAGGTGACCAAGTATGAGGAGTAGGGTCCCAGATCCCATTTATTCAGGATTTTTAAATTTAAAGGATAGTTTGATTTGGATATATGCATACTAAATGGAATCACAGTTAGCTGATTATTAATGAGGTATGACCACAATTGACTTCTACTTTTCTTGTTGTTGCTTATTTCTTTCCCTTCCCTTCCCTTTCATGTTCTTCCCTGCCCTCCCCTGTCCTCTACTCCCCTCTCTTCTCCTCTCCTTCCCATTTTCTTTTCCATTTCTCCTTTTCTTTCAGGCATGATCTAGCAATATAGTCCAAGTTTACCTTCAATTTTTGATCCTCCTGACTCAGCTTCCCCAGTTCTAGGATCAGGATGTGTAGGATGATTTTGATGATGTCCTATTTTGATATCTATAAGAATTGTTTATTTATGGGCTGAAGTGGTGGCTCAGCCATTAAATGCTAGGCTCACAACCAAATATATAAGAATTGTTTATTTGTATTAGGTATTTGAATGATGCATTTCACACAAGTCTTATTGGAAGAATTTATGGTAACACCTTATGACAATGAAGCTCGTCCAGTATTTTAGGATAATTATTAGTGATACAGAATTATTGTAAAGGATAATGGATATCACATTAAATCTCTGTTTTTTTTTCTAGAAAAAATATCTTACCTTTCCTACATACTGAGTGTCTGTACCTGTGTATTCTTCCAACAAGAAGAACTGATTCCACATCCAGCCACGTTTGGTGCGATGGAGCATTTTCCCATCATCTTTTGTCAAATCCACTATGGTTTTCAGTAAGTGACTATTATCCTTTGCTTTTAATGGGCTGTTGTCAATGGTATGGAGGATACACATCCAGATGACCAGTGAAAGACAATGGTGCGTCCTCATTATCTTCAACTTCAGAAGGAAGAAAATTTGAATGTATGTTCTGTAGGAAAAAAAAGATTTCATTAGGATGTGTCTCACACATATCCTAGCTACTGGAACATACTATTTATGTTTTTCTGTGTGTGTGTGTGTGTGTGTGTGTGTGTGTGTGTGTGTGTGTGATGTAGACATTTGAGTGAAAAAAATCTAGTTCTATTGGATGAATCAGAGTTTAGGCAATGACAAATATTGTGAAACTTTGTAACTTAATAAAATAAATTAACATTTGAGTTCATTCCCATCAAAGCCACTGAAGTATTACAACATAACATCCAGAGATCAATCTTGGCTAACTAAAAGTAATCAAGGGTAGGAAAGAGATCCTGTAAGGTAGGCATCAATGAAGTCTGTCCTATCAGTTCAGTAAGGGATGATGATGCTTCTCCAAATATAATTAAATCAATGGTGATTATTAAAGTTCTCTAGTAGACTATATGCGACTGCTAATACACACACACACACACACACACACACACACACACACACACACAGTTCAGTTTCTCTATGCCTTGTCTTTAATTTGGCTATTGCAGTAATTATGTACCTACAATTTTGCAAGTGTTCCTGTGAAATTATTGAGAAATATTTGAAGTATGAAACATGACAGAGTTTCATGCAGATTCCAGCTGAAGCTGTACTGTGTATTCCTCTGTGTGTGTGTGTGTTTCTTTTTCTGTATATGAGGTTGTACAGTCAAGAACGTAGTTTGTAATGCTGAAATAGATGTTTGGAGATTTGAGTATTTTATTTTACAGATAAGTCATTCATTTAAGGAATTAGAATGTAAATGTCTTGCCTGAGTATTTGGACTGTTCTCAAATCCCTGTGTTGGTAACCTATTCCCAGCAAATGTTAATTGGGAGGTGACTTAGCCAGAGACCAGAATTATTCATGGAAAAATTACTGCCTTATAAGAACATGGAGTGAATTGAGTTCCATTTAACTATGGTGCATGAAAGCATATGTAAGGCAGACAGCTCTCAAAATGCACCACTAAGAGGGCACCTTGACGTTGCACTTATCAGTATTCTGAACTTAAGAAATACTTATTTCTGTGATCTTGCTCATTGTATATTATGTTGTATTAGCCAGAATCAACTAGGAGAAATAAAAAAAAGGATTTAATGTGTATGTACTTGAAGACTTTATTTAAAATTTGTCCAGTTAATAGTTTTACCTATATTTCTATTCTGATCTGACAAAAACTTGCCAGGTTAATTCTTAGACATTTTATTGGCATTTTTGATGTTTGTCTATCATATACTTTTACAGTTATCCAAGTAATAATTTGAAAAATTATCACATCTCATTCCAGTTTTTCATGTTCTCTATCTCACTGTTCATTTCTGACCTTCTCATGAATGAAAACAGCATTTATTATTTCATTCATTTAGTAATTAACACACTGGTCCACTTTAGTTAGATATAATATCATTTTTCTGAATTATGTAAGTAGTTATAATGTCCTACACACAACCTAAGTGGCACTTACCTATTTCAGTAAAATTATATGCTTGATAGCTTATTGTTTAATGCTTTTGCAGTTTATTTTTAACCCCAGGTCACCTATCAGTCTAATGTATAAACAACAGTGGAGATACATACAAAAATTAATCCTAAAAGGTTGATAGCTTTTGACCAGACTCAGAGACTATTTTTGGATGTTGTAATCTAAATCATGAAATTGTCAGTACTCTCACTGAAATTCACAGAAGTTTGCATTAAGTGAGATTAAATGTTAACAGCACAGCATGACTGCTATAAATTATAGAATGCTTTATTATGAACTTTGCCATTCTCTGATTTAATCCCTTTACTATAGTCAATTTTTTTTTTGTATATTTGTTTCACATTTAGAAAACATTACTGTAAACCTCCTGTGGCCAATTTAACACCTGCACATTCTTTGACTCTGAGATAAAAGTGCCCAGTTTAAAAGGTTTTCTGCTATATTTGATTTTCAAGTTAATAATCTCATGTCCCATGGGGTTTATTAAAAACTCTTCACATCCTTTATTTATTCAATAGCAACAAGCTGACTACTAAATTTTCTATGCCTAATTATCTATATCAGCCTTAACTGCTCTGCATTTTAATTTCACTTTAGTTGACAAATAACTTCCATCAAATGCATTATGAAGTACAATATTTTAAATTTGGCTTAACTTTGATTTTGAAATCAGGCAATTTACTTGAATATTGTTAGTTTTGAAAACTTAACATGGTTTTATTATTTCCTTCTTCAGTCAATTACGTTTAAATTGTATTTTATTTCTGTGTCATAATCAAGAAAGAAAATGTGCCTTGCTGTGGTGAATTGAATGCTTACCATTTAAATACCTAACTGAAATTGAATATGTCTCTGCATACACTTATATAATTATAATCTAAATAAAAGTTTACAGCTACAGCTTTTTTTTATTAATCATGTGTATTATAGCTTATCTACATGTGAGTATATGTACTTTTGTGTGCAGTCTCCCCTAGATTCCAGAAGAGGGCATTGCAATCCTAGGCCCTGGAGTTATAAAGAGGTTGTGATTCACTCAATATTTGTAGTAGGAACTGAACTCTTGTCCTCTTCAATTACTAAATCACTGAATCATCTATGCAGTCTCTCAAGACATGTACTTAGAACACAAGTTTCCCAGTGAGCAAATACTTTGACAAACATTATAACAATAGTCTTAAGAGACACATAATTTATATTTTTTCCAATGACATATGTGAGTTTTACAAATATAGAAAAATACACTTATCATATGTGTTGCTTTTCTGTTGTCATGACAAAACACTATGACCAAAGCAACATATAATAGAATTTATTTTGCCTCTTACCATTAGAGAGGGTTAGAATCAATGGCCAACATTGCCAGGAGAATAGCATTTGGACAGTAGCTTAGAAAATCCATCTTAGTCTACAATCACAAGACAGATAGAGATAACTGGAAATGGCTGTTTTTTGTTTTTTTTTTTTTTTCTGTTGTTGTTTTAAACCTCAAAGCCTGTCCCCAGGAACATACATATTCCTACTAGATCAGAACTCCTAATGCTTTTCAAAATTTCCATTCACTATAGCTCATACATATATATATTTACATGTGAGGGTCACTCTCAATCAAACCATTTCTGTGTCAATGTAGAAACCAACCCTTTACACCACTTCCTTTTCTATTCCTAGCCCTACCTATCTCCCCTAGTTCAGGTGATTCTCCTGTGAGAGAGCTTCAGTCTCTTGGCCAACAGACTTTTGTTCAGTTTTGCCGTTTCCCTGTACTATAAGATTTGATGGATGAAACACACCTCCAGCCACACTTTCCTTCTCTCATAAAGAGAAGAGGGCAGAGGGCCTAGTGGTGGGGCCCAAAGCTGGTTTTGCCTGGGGAAGGACCCAAAAATTCCCTGCGGAAATAATAGGATGTAGAAGAAATCAATAAAATCAGACAAAAAGAAAAAAGAACAGAAACCAAGTTTAAGGGTCACCCTAGTAAAGACTCCTAGTAATCGGAGATATGGAGCCTGAACTGGCCATCTTCTGTAACCAAGCAATACTTCCAATACAGGCATTGGGACACCAAGCCAACTACAAAACATTTGACCTAAAGCTTATTTTCTATGCAAGATGTGCTAGGGTAATTTGGTGTAGTACTTGCTGAGAGGTCAGCCAATGACTGATCCAAGATGAGATCTATGCTAAGCCTGACAATGCCTGGAGGGCCAGGATGGAGAGTCCATGGACTTAGGATACAATCATATATGACCAGCACAAATAATGAATAAATAAGTAAGACAATGAAATGACCCCTCATTGTATTCTGCTAAACTCCTAGTCTGGAACCTAGTATAATGATCATTGGTGAAACTTCACCTAGCAGCTGATGGAAGCAGATAAAGTGACCTATAGCCAAAATATGGTGGAGTTTTGGGAATCGTGCTGAAAAGTTAAACAACATATTGTGAAGCCAGAGGGGTCAAGGGTATCACAAGAAAATTTCCTACATAATCCACTAACCAGGGATTATAGGAGTTCATGGAGACTTGAGTGAAAATCCCAGAAGCCTGTATGGGTCTGATCAAAGATCTCTGCATATATGTTATGTTTGTGTATCTTGGTGTTTTTGTGGGACTACTAACAGTGGGAGCAGGGGTTGTGTTTGATGTTTAGATCAATTTTGTGTTCCTTTTCCTCCAACTGACTTGCTTCATTTAGACTTGATTTGAGGGGTGTATGTAGTCTTATTGTTAACTTGTGCCATGCCTGGTTGATATCCCTGAGACATCTGTCTGATATATCCCTGAGATATACCTTTTCTGAGAGGAAAGGTGAAGGGATCAGAGAAGACAGGAGGTATAGGTGAAGGACTAGGAGGACAGGAAGGAGAGGAAACTGTGGTGGGGATGTAATAGATGAAGGAAGATTAAATAAAAGATAAAAAGGAAACATAGGTGACAAATACAGATATAAAACAATCTGAAAGGAAGTACCATCATCCCTGTAGAAAAGTTTAAATTAAACCCTAAAAGTCTTTACTTGGATGATACACAACACTAATTCTCCTTCATTGCTGGTATACCATTCACTACAGAGATGTCCTTTGCAATATTTAATGGAAATTAAAGTTTTATACTATAGCATATCAATTCTCTTTCTAGTTATTGTAATTTAAAATACTTTTTCACGAAGAAAATACAGTTTATTTTATATAATGTTTGTTCATATTTACATTTTTAAATACTTATTCTCTTTCATTCCATGTGTATGCATCCTTGCCTGAGTGTGGGTATAGGAATTACATACATGCATAATCTATGGTAATCAGCAGAGGATGATCCATTTTGTGGGCCTATATTTACAGACATTTGTAAATGAATTGAAATGTTGCTGGAGGTTTTAATAAGAGGCTTTTGAAGACAGTGAACCCCTTAAATACAGTGTCATCTATCAATACCCCAACATGCATTTTGGAAAGTGAACAGATACATAATTTTCTAAACACTGAT